AGGAGTAAAAAACATTAATTTGATGTAACATTCGGTTGTAAATCTCATTGCGGCTAATATGACAGATATCATAGATATAAAAAAATATGTCGTAAAATTACATATTTTCCTCGTCTTTTGCTATACTATTATTGCTCTTTTTTTTTATCGTTTTATCTGATAGAAAAAAGAAAACGAAAGAAAAAAAAAATTGATTATTTGGATTATACTATTAATTGGGAAACAATCTATTGCAATATTTTCACAAATCACTTATAACTTTTAAAATTTAAAAAAAAAACTGTTTAATGGATAGATTGAAATGATTGAAATTTATAGAAAAGACATATTTATTAATTACTGTAAGATTTCAAGAGAATTATTGTAGGATTTTAAAAACTTTAGGAATATTATAGGGATTTTTGAAAATATTTATATTTTAAAAATTAAATTTATAGGTTGTTATCAGAAGCACCAAATAATGTATTTCGTGATGATGGTGTCCTTTGTGGTTTATTACCGGGATTGACAAGGCGACAAAGTGATTTGTGTTTGCGACATCGTACAGCAATACGTTATGTTGTAAAAGGTTTGAAAGCTGCTATATATGAATGCCGAAATCAATTTCATGATCAACGATGGAATTGCTCAGCAAGTCGAAACGGTTTCGCTATTTCTCATCTGAAAGGTATATTTTAAATACATAACTGTGATTAAAGTTCATTTTTATTAAGATAATAATAATCATGATAAAATCCCATCTTTATCCATCGAATTATCAACATTTCATTTTTTTTTAAAGTCTTCTACAGATAAAATGTATCATACATACATTTATAATTCTTAATTATTATTAAATATTTCGACCATGAATAAAAAATCAAAGATGACTGCTTTTTTTTTTCATTTTAGAAATTAATCAAACATTTGGAATCATTTTCTATAATGAGAATGTGAAATTATTGTAGAATTTATTATATTTATACTAAAATTAACATTTATTACCATCATAATTTGCATTCCATTCCATGGAAATACTTGGAAACAATTTTATCGAATTGTTTAGTTGGAAGCAAAGAATCAGCTTACGTATTCGCCATATCATCTGCTGCAGTAAGTCGAGCATTGGCACGAGCATGTGCGCAAGGAACGATTGCAAGTTGTAGTTGTGGCATACATCCGAAACGTATCACAAAACAATTCAAATGGGCTGGTTGCTCTGATAATATTAAATTTGCAAATAATTTTGGACGGAAATTTATGGATGCAGCTGATTCAGCACATATTAATGATGCTCGGTTTGTTTCCGTTTTTTTCTTTACTCGTC